TGCAATAGCTTGCGCCCTCAGAATCATGACGTCGAGAACCAGCCATACTCGTCTAACTAGCAACAGTTTGGTCGGGAACCTCTGTTCTTGGGAGTCGAGCGGTAAGTTAGGAGAAATGGACTTCTGCCGTTTGCTCTCCCGCTTTGACTCTATTAGACAACGTGTGAACTTTTAGACGACTCAATCCAGTTACCGTTCGGTTGCGAATGATGCTCTGCACATTTGATTTGACGAACAGAACTCAATGAATTGCGAAGGAGTAAACTGTAAGTCTCCATCTGGAACTAGGACTATCAGCATGCCGAACTGACCAAACCTTTTCTGAGGTTTGTTATGACGGCAGGTGTGGTCACAACACGCGTCGGGAAAATGTCGAAGAAGTGAAATATGCATAAGCAACTCTTGTGAGTTGACTTCACTTGACTATTATTTACGTGGTATATTCCTTCTACAGGACCAGGAAAATCAACCCGAATGCTTGACAAGTGGCCGTGGCAGGTTGAATGGTTTAGGTTTCTGCCGTGTGCACAAGATTATTTGCCTTTACCGAGGTATGTCATGTCGGAACTACTGGTTCAATTTGTTGATTCTCAAATCTCCGGTATGTTTAATGCCAAGGAATCACCTTTTGTTTTCGGCATAAATCAGAACTATTCGAAAAATTGCTGGGGTAATATATTTTCAAACGAAAAGTGACAGCATTGCCTTTTTCACACTTTATTGCGGCATACCCGACCAGCTGCATTGACTGAGAGGTGGACTCAGTGTGAGAACAGTCACGGAATTAATTGCAGGGGGTGGCCAAAATCCAATTTGTGAATATAAGCAATATCAAGCAAATCCAAATTACCATGTTTAGGTATGTTGTAGGCACCATGGTAAAAGCGATCACAAAATGAAAATTAACAACGAAACCCTACGATAAATATGATTTCTTCCCCGGAAAACGCCCAAAAATTTGGATGGTTCACTAGTACACTAGTTTGTCCAGAAAATTTCAGCTCTTTAAAATGACGGTTACATCTGATGATGTATCGATTTGTAATTTCACGGTTCGATTGTTATGAATCAGGATAGCTTTCCAACGACAATTGAAATAGAGGGCGTTTGAGGTTTAAGAACTACGATGTCTGATGCTTCTTTCAAAATGGTTTAGACCGATAATAACAGAGGCTTTCTTTATGACCAATCACATCCCAATTTCAGTACTTGTGTTGCCTATATGCAAAATTCAATCGAAATTACACAGTGCCAACATGCTGTCTTGGTGTCTTGTGGATGTGGCTAATGCATTCAGCTAAGTAACTGTTGGGTCACCTGTTTGCTGGATTATCTCGTAATGATGTTTCAAATTTATTAGGTGTTTACACCCAACAGTAACTTGTTTTAACTTGGTTGCGGTGTCGGTTGCGAGTTTGAAAAATAACTCTGTGCGAATGTGAGTTTTCTTGAGTGAGTGGGACCACAGACAAGAATTAGGGTTTTGAAATGATCATCTGTGAGGCTTTGGGCTTGAAGCGCTTGCATTCACAATTACGTCGGCTGGTGCACGGGGTAAAATCGTCTTCAGGTGCTTTGGAATTGATCTCGGATATTGAACAACCGGGAGCTCTTACCGAAAACTACACTAAGGTTTTTGAGTGATTGCTCCAAGTGGAGGTCCTTTGAATGTTTGCAAAAAAGGAAACTGCAGTGTTATTCGTGTTTTGCTGAAACCAGTTTAGGATATTAAAGGCGAATATGGGTGGCCTCGTCAAGAGAAACATCATTTACTTTCAGGATATCCTCATACCTCCAATACTTTAGGTCAAAAGTGACAGTCACCTGAGGCTCATAATGGAATTCATTGATACTTTGAAACCCAGTTTCGATAGTCCAAATCTTTCGGTTATCTAAGTTTGGCTGCACAGAAAGCTGCTGCATCAAAGTTGAATTTCTTCCTGTTTTCGTTACAGCAGCCATTTTTCACCGCCGCCAAATTACTTTCAGTGTCCGCCCAGGATTTGGAAGAACACAACTCACTGAACTGGAAATGGCTGACGGTAATAATTTGAACACGATTTGCAGGGTCAATGGGTGAAATACAAATCAATAATATTTAGGCCTGATAAGGATGTTAGCTAGAACGACCAGTCACGTGACAGAGCGAGCGGTGGCATTATTTGAGGTCTCAACACAAAAACCATTTGAGTCACCAGCCCTTACAACTTATTTCACTAGTGATATTTTAGATCATTTTCATTTATTTGAATGGTTCATACATAGCATTATTTGTTACGGAGAAGTAATTTTTAACGAAGTGTGAACCCACAATGATTTGCTGAATAGCACCTGGTAAGCACTTGTTCGAAACGTCATGGTTCAAAAAGCTATGCATATCTTATATTTTTATAAACAATAAATAAAATAATCAATGTAGTTCTACTCTGTTTATTTTTTGAATATGTGGATGTACACTCAACATGCAGGAAGGGAGGCCAAGGCCATACAAAGGATGCCTGGAACTCAGAGGTCACAAGTTGGTGACCTAACCACTTGGCCACCACCACTGGCTAATAAAAAGGAAATTGTTAAACGCATAAGACAATGTTTCTACAATCATTCCGTAGATACACTTCAGTAGAATCTCAATTTTATACAGGTTACTAATTAAGGATTAGTGAAGAACACTGTACAGAGTCAAGTAACAATTTGTGGTTTGGTGTCAATCACACAGCTGGTGGAAGTGGTCTCCTTGACGTCAACTGAACTATGGCGACGATAATTTGTTGAGCCCGCCCATTGGTTAACAGTATATATATATATATATATAT